CCTCACAGCACTGCCCGCCTGGGCCTGTGGAGGTGCTGGGGAGGGGGGCTTTCCTCACAGCACTGCCCACCTGGGCCTTAGAGAGAAGGGATGTGCCAGGTGGGAATGAAGAAAGGGACTAGTATATGCTAGACACTGTACATGATCTCATTCCACTGAGTTCCAAAAAAATAATGCAGAATTTCGTACAATATTTCTCTCACCACATCCACTAGAACTGTGGCTGTGGACGGTCTCTTGTTCAGAACTCGGGGAGACTTCCTCTTACCATGTTCTTCTTCTGGTACGGCATTTAATCTGTCAGTGTCAGTTGAATGAATTATGTAAACATCAAGATTCACTCATTCCATAGCCTCTCCCCTCCCAAGGAGACAGTGCCCCGAGACGTCTGGGTACCAAAGGGAGGGGTCTTCCTCTGCTGTAGTCTGTGAGCCCCTCGCGTGCCGGCACTGGGCACTCGGTGCCTGGTGAATGTTTGCTCACTGTATCGGCGGGTCAGCTAGGGTACCTTCATGTCTCTTGAATGTAATCCATCTCTGATTTTCATGCAAGAAACACGCTTGTGGTGGTTTTGAGGAAGTTGAATAGGATGCTGAAATAGAATACCAGGTAGTGTCTTTGTAGTATTACTTTTTTATTTGTCTACGTGTGATATTTCTTGTATATGTCCTCTGAACAGCTCTTCCCTTGGAAGATATCCTGTGTAAATCTTGCTGGCACTAGTTTTTGTTTTTACATCCCCTTTTTAGATGACGATGAAAAGCAAACAGCGCGTGTTAACGGAAGACTGGGAGCTTTTTAAACAAAGGCGATTCACCGACGAGCAGGTGAGGCTGCAGGGAGGAGGGGGCAGAAGGCCTGGGAAGCAGACAACGTTGACTGCAAAGTGGACACCCTGTGTGCGTGTCGACGTGCTCTGCTGTGACAGACCGGCGTTTGGAGACCACACAGCATTGGCAGGCTGTGCTCATGAGTCCTCAGGGTCAACCCATTGCACTGATTAACCCATTCCCTTATGTTCCGTTGCTCTTCTTGGAAAACCCATGTGTACTGAGCAGCTTGTTACAACCCCTCAGGCTGCTATCTCCTTTCTGCCCTTGATGCCTGCGGCCTCCACCCCTGACCCGGCACTGCCCAGGCCATTCTTCCCCACCTGCCTCCTGTTGGTTCCCACTCAGCCTCTCCCATCCACCTCGGGACTGACCGTCCAGGCCTCTGTCCGGTATCACCCTCTGGGCGCAGTTCCTCTCTGCAGCCCTGTGTCCTGCCGTGCTGTGCTGTCCTTGCTGGCCCTTGGCATCCCATGTCACCCTTGAGCTCAGTCCAGGTGTCCTCGAATCTGCGAGTGTGTGCCTGGCCCAGTGCTCCTGCCTTGTCTGAGTTACCAGCCTCAACTCCCATTGACCACTGGCTCAGGCCTCCCAACCTCTGCTCCGTGGAGCCTTCTTTCCTGCTTCCACAGCCCTGAGCAGGTCGCTGCCCTAACGCTCGTCACCCTTCTCGTCCTTTTCTTTTTTTTTAAATGACCTTTGGTTTTTGTCTATCTCTCTACCAGATTGTAAACTCCTTGCAGGCAGTGATTTCGCTCACCTCTCTGTACTCCTGGTGCCTAGCCAGCACTTACAGACACAGGGGAAATGGCAGGTGTCCACTGCAGCCCTGCCTTCTGGGGCACTGCTGTGAGGTCATGTGACAGCTAGTTTGCTTGGAGAGGAAGCTTGTAGGGGTTCCTGGTTCCCAGCCTTTGGGGTTCAGCCAGGTGACCCTGGCTGCATTCAGCTGCCCCTTCCTTCCTGGCCTCTCCATCATAGGACACTGAGACCATTGGTTTCTTGATGAGCATGATATATACTACCATAGCTGTTTAATAAGTACGAACCGTGTAATAGAGGGAAAATGCTTGGCCAAGTTAGAACGTTGTTTTATAATTTCTTCTAGTTGACTAATAAGAAAGCAGTAGCTGGCGAGAACCACTTCACAGACACCATGAGGCACATGCTGTCGTCTCGGCTGGGCATGCCCGACTGCCCCAACTGTAACTACAGGAGAAGGTGAGCTCAGTGCTGGCAGTCAGCAGGTGTGTGTGGCCTTGAGCTAACCATGTAGCGATCCGGAACGACTGCTACAGAACATGCGTCTGCCTTTCTGTGTGGTTCTCTTGGTAACTGTCCTTCATTCCCGATCAGATGTGCTTGTGATGACTGCAGCCTCTCACACATCCTCACTTGTGGTATCATGGACCCCCCCGTCACTGACGACATCCACATTCACCAGCTGCCACTCCAAATGGACTCTGCTCCCGACTATCTCTCTGAGATGCGCCCACCTAGTGTGTCCTCAGCAAGCTCAGGGTCAGGCTCCAGCTCTCCCATTACAATTCAGCAACATCCCAGACTCATCCTCACAGACAGTGGCTCTGCACCAACTTTGTAAGTTGTGACTTTGTCATGAAGTTTCAGAAATTTAAGTAATCCAACGATGCACATTACAGACAGGAATGTCTACAGAGTCTACCTATCATTACAGTGCTTTTAATGAAAAAGGACCCTTGCATTTTTCAAACAACTTTAAAACACATGAAATCAGTAAACCCAAACTTTGACACTATTTCATTACCTGAGGAGAAAAAATATGGTAAATTAATAAATGCCAGTAATGGAAAAAAACATGTTGGTATGCAGGGAAGCGGCTATTCAGTTATGGTTTCCCATTTTCTCCTTTTATTTGAGCGTAGCAAGCCTGCTTTTTTCACCGTCTCATTGTCCACTCAGCGTCCATGCTTGCTCCATGGCCTGCCGAGCACACGGATGGGCACGCTGGCACGTGGTCTGCAAGGTTCTGCCTGCAGGTTTCCCACAGCATAGAAGTCATTTCGTATTAGTGAGGGGGTTATGCAGCTGTCACCAGTTCGCGTTGCAGATGTGGGGTCAGAATTACGACCCTGTCGCTTGTTGAGGGCTTCACACTCTAACTGCTGGAAGGACTGCATATGAGTATGTTTTTACCTGAGTCAGCTGAGGTGTCTGCTACTCGTATGTTAGAGTGTGCATGTGCCCAGAGCCTGAGGAGAGGACTGAGCACCTCCTGCTCCCCGACGCGGTGGTCACCCAACCCTGGGCGCCTCGGCTCTTCTCAGATTTCCTGACAGACCCAGGTGTGCTGGTCACCCCATCTGGGCTTCTCACGGTGGCTCTGAGGTTTTCTTTCAGATTTCTTTGAGTTCTCAATTGGGACTCATTGTCAGTCCCAAATAAACAGGTCTGAACGCTGTGGCGCTCTTTGTTGCCAGTGGAAGTCCTCACACTGCTTTGTAGCTTTAGAAATCCTGGGTGCTCTGTGGGAGTCTGGGAGTGCCGAGGGCCTCCCCATTAGTTGTTACCCAAATCCTTATAGAAACACGTAGAAATTAAACCCGTGTAGCCTAATAAAACGGAAGTTAGAGAATTCCGTCCCCGCCCACTCGACATGGCCGTTGATGTTGGTTCTGAAGCTCCTGGGCTGCGCTTAATGGAGAGGGCCTTTGGGCTGCGGGGGTCTGCAGGTGCTGCGTGCCGTGGCTGCCCAGGGCAGCTGGGCCCCAGGCCATCAGCAGGTCTCGGTGAGGGCCTTGCTCGTGATGAGCTGCTGTGATCTGAAAACCCTGCAGTGTTACCCGGTTTGTGTTCTCCCGTTCTTGGTGCCCTTTCTAAATTAAGGGAATAGGGCTGTTAAAGTCACCGTTCCTCATGCCTCCTGGAGCGTTTGGGATCGCACGCTGGGGAAGCCCGCCCTCCTCACTAGACAGTTACCTACATTTCTGAGCCTCAGTTTCCTCGTAGGTCAGTGGTGGTGAGGATGCTGGCTCAGGAGTGGGTGTGTGCTGACCACAGGCCCTTAGCAAACCTGAGCCGCGTTCCAGGCGGGCGGCCATTTGTCCTTTTGTGTTGGTGAGCCCTGGGTTGCATGTTGATTATTGTTTTCTTAAAATGGGAAAGGCCCCTGAGTTTGGCGTTCCTGGACGCTTTTCCTAAAGAGACAAGGGCACCAGTCCTTAGGGTTTTTACCCACTCTGTGATGTGTGCACGTGGACTGAGGAGTGTCCGTTTGCCATCACGCTTTGACCATGGGCTCTGTTCCAGCTCTTTTCACGAACCAGAAAATCATACATTTTCAAGAGAATAAAGCCTTAAAATCTGCTGAAATTTTTTTTTAGTAAATACAGTAAAACTTGTGAAAGCCAGAACCTGTACAAGGCGGAAACCTGTCAGAGAAGGAAACCTCCAATTTTTTCCCCTAAAAGGAGCGATAGAAAAGTGTTGAGACTGCACCCTGTCAGAGGCAGAGAGCACTCGCAAGACCTAGAAAAACGAGGCAGTCCTGTCGAGTTCCGGCTCTCAGGTCTCATTGTACTCACTTCCCATTGCTTAGACATCTGGCTCTCAGGTCTCACTGTATTCACTTCCCATTGCTTAGACATCTTGCTAAAGCTAATTTTTTATTTAAGGTCCTGACTGACTTGACAGAGCTGGCCTTGTAGTAAAAGAACTTTTAGTATTTTGTCAGTAAGCGCCTTTTAAAGTTTTGTTCAACTGGTTATTTCTGAAATAATTTTTGGTGGTTGTAAAAAGAAACACTTAAGGTTGTTGTCTATACCCCTTTATTTTGAACCAAAAATTAATTGTGTCTGTTTAGGGGTGGCAGAAGAAAATGGTTTTACACCAGGGCCTTTCAAATGTCGTGTTAGATGGAAATGTGATGTCAGCGAATGTGACCAAGGTTTTGTTGTTCAATCGTTTTCCTCTGGGAGCTCTGTTTTGCATGATTCTTCCAGACAGCTCCAAGTATTATCTTGTGTTCTGGTTACTGAGCACTGTTAAGTAGTCTTAGTGGTACTTGACATAAAACTCTTTGTAAATGAGATCCGTTATCTGTAAAGGAAATGTCCGTGCCCAGTCAGTAGTTCACTTGCTGTCCCCCCGTCGATGGCCTCATGGTGACTCTTTGTGCTTGGTCTCAGTTGTAGTGATGATGAAGATGTCGCACCGCTATCGGCTAAATTTGCGGATATTTATCCATTGAGTAACTATGATGATCCCGAGGTTGTGGCCAACATGAATGGAATTCACAACGAGTTAAATGGTGGCGGGGAAAACATGGCCCTGAAAGACGAGGTACGGGCATGGCTTTTTTTGTCCTTATAATAAATGGCATGCAGCGGTGGGCTGAAGTTTCAATGTTTTCTATGACTCTTCTGTTTTGAAAAGTGTCAATTACAAAAGGTTGCTTTTAAAGTCCCCGCAGGTGAGCAGTAGCAGTAGTAGCTCTTCCGAAGCTGACGATGAAGAAGCAGATGGCGAGAGTAGTGGGGAGCCTCCAGGAGCCCCGAAGGAAGACATAGCCCTAGGAAACGGGAACCTCGGGAAACACGAAGACAAAGTGGATAGTCCACCCCCGTCATACCCAGCTCAGCAGGTATGGTTTTATTTTTTTCACACTTTCTGTTTTGCCAAGGGTCTCTTGCCCTGTGTATGTTTTCTTTAAACATGAGAATTATTGTTATACCAGATTATTCTATTTCTAATAATTTCTGAAGATTAGATACACTTAAAAATGAAGAGATGTGGCTCGCCTCATGACTCCATTGTAATCTGGTTTCTCTTGCTTGAAGCTGTAATCATCAGCCTTGACTTGGTAACACCCCAGGAAAGCTCCCTATGTCTAGGTGTCATGGATCTTTTTGTCTGTATAGAAGCAAGGGGAGATTTTTTATAAAATACAATAATGGAGTGTTAAAATTTCAGAGAAGGTTGGTTTTATAAGGGGACGTTTATTTCTGTTGGGTATCTGTTTTTCTGTTAGTGAAAGGCAAGGTTACCTTATTGGACTTTTTTTTTTTTTTTTAGTCACTTAGAGTTTTATAATAGATGCTCAGTAAGTAACTTTTAAATGAAAAGATGAACAAAAGAAGGTTAAGATGCTTGGTAATTAATTAATTTTAATAGGTAATATAAATAAATGGTTCAAAAAATGATGTTAAAAAGTGTATGCTGAGAAGTCTTGCTCCTTTCCCTACCCACCCTTGTTACCAGTCCCAATGAAAACCACAAACCAAACCCGATTCCGACTCATAGTAGCCCTATAGGACAGAGCAGAACCGCCCCATAGGAGTGGCTAAAGAATTTGAACTGTCAACCTTTTGGTTACCAGCTGAACCCTTAACCACTGCACCACCAGGGCTCCCCCAGTCCCAGTAGGTAGCCTGTTTTATTTGCTTATGGTGTGTCCTTTCAGCATTTATGTATGCAAATACCAAGATTTATTCTTCCCTTTCTTATGAGAAAGGCTGTCTACTACTATACACCGTGTTTCTGTACCTTGCCTTTTCACTCAGCAGTGTATCCTGAGAGCCGTTCTCCATGTGTCCCAAGGGCACTTCCTCAGTCTCTTTCACTAACCTCACTGTATTTCATTGTGCGGCCATTTGGTTGGTTACTTTTTGTTTTTAACCAGTGCCCTGCTAATGGCCACTTGTGTGGTTTTCCGTTTTTTGCTGTTTTGAACGATTCTGTAAGTAGCCTACGTCTGCCATCTTACAGACGAGCAGAGGTACCTTTGGGGACTGACCACCAGCAGTGAGTTTGCTGGGTCAGAGCATCTGGGGGTGGGTGAGCGATTCATCACAGCCCCCCAGCAACGGGACCTGTCCCCCCCCACCAAGAGGGGGGTGCCACAGCCCTGATAGGCAAGAAGTGGCAACCCCTGTGGTTTCAGTTTTCATTTCACTTTTTGTGGGCAAGAGTTGGGCTTCCTTTCATGTTTAAGGGCCATTTGCCTCCTTTTTTATCAACTGCCAGTTTTTGTCTTCTGCCCATTTGTCTGCTGAGTTGTCTTTAGCCTCTGTTTCCACGAGCTCTTTGTATATTAAAGAGATTTGCTTGGCATAGGATAATATTTTTTTATTATATAATAGTACATGATCGTCTCTTATGAATATTAACTGTAATCTCCTTTGAGGTTGTATCCCTTTCAATAACTAATTGTATATATTGGGGTTTATATTTAGCTGGCTTAGAATTTGGCATTAGACTTCTTTTAAAAAAAATATTGTGCTTTTAGTGAAAGTGACATTAGTCTTCTTAATTAAATGACCCTTATTTTAGTGGTTGGCACCGTGGACTAAGTCAGTATTCCTGGTTCCCTTCCCAGTTATTAATTGGCGTACACTTGTGGACAGTTTATTCACATCATCCTGCCTTCAGAGTTGGAATCACCATGAATAATGTCCTCAAGAACTGTATAAGGTTGATAAAATCACCTGGAAACTGCGCCAAATGAAGTGGGCTGATCTGAGCTCTCCCTGTTTCCTGCTTAGAGACAAAGCTTACAGCCTCTGCTTTAGTCTCTCTTGCATTGCTCACTTAAGTAATTAGAGGTTTAAATGTTTATATTTAGAATTGTGCTGTTCCACTTAAGTGTGTCTGTCTGATCCTTTTTCTTATGAAAATACATAACTTTTGGCCATAAGCTGTTTCCGTCGAGTTGATTCCAACTCATGGCGACCCTATAGGACAGAGTAGAGCTGCCCCATAGAGTTTCCAGGGAGTGCCTGGTGGATTTGAACTGCCAACCCTTTGGTTAGCAGCCGTAGCTCTTAACCACTGCGCCACCAGGGTGTCCTTTGCCTGTAAGAGTATCATTTTTATTGAAGATCTTGTTTTCTAAAAAAATAAGCCTAAAACAACACCAATTCTCCCTTTAGATTATGGGACTGGTATAAAACTGTTTTCAGACGTCTTTACCCAACTTTTCTTGTAACTTTAAACACTGAATTCTAGGTTTACAGGGTTTCTTTGCATCTTCTCCAGTCTGATCTGTGCAATCTAGTACATTAAATTTTAAGATAAGTCTTCTGATTACTAATCCCAGCTGTACCACTCAGGGGTCATGTAACTTTTGGAAAAACACTAATTCATATATTTTTAACAGTTTTATTTATGGTTATGCAGCCATTACCAGAGTCCACTTTTAGGGTATTTCTGTCATGCCAGAAAGTTCCCTCATGCCCATTTTGTCAGTCCCTGCTCCCTCCCTCAGTCTCCAGCAATCACTGATCTGTTTTCTGTCTCTATAGATTGGCCTTTTCTAGACATTTTATCCACATGGAATCACACACTATGTATGTCTGGCTTCTTGAGTTTCATCCATGCTGTTTTATGTATCGATTGTGTTTGAATTGCCGGATATTATCCCATTATATGGATATACCACATTTTGTTGATGTCTTCACCACTTGGTGGACATTTGGATTGTTTATAGCTTTTGGTTAATATGAATAATGTTACTGTGAACAGTTGCATATAAATCTGTGTAGATACATGTTTTGATTTTTCTTGGGTTTATACCTAGGAATGGCTTGTATGGTAAATATATACTTCATTTTTTAAGAAACCGCCAAACTATTTTCCAGAAAGACTGTGCCATTTTATGTTCCAGCCAGTAGTGTGTGACAGTTGCATGTTCTCCACGTCCTCAACACTTGCTGTCATTAGTCCTTTGGATTGTAGCCGGTTTAGTGGGTGAATAGTGGCATAACGTGATTTTAATTTGTATTCTCTAATTATTAATGATGATGAGCATTTTTTTATATGCGTATTAGCCATTAATATATATTCTGTGGTGAAATGTCCATTCAGACCTTCTGCTCATTAAAAAAATTGGGTTGTTTGTCTTCTGAGTTTTAAGAGTTCCTTATGTATTAGATACAAATCCTTTATCAAGTGTATGATTTTCTCCTAGTCCGTGGCATGCGTGTTAGTTTTTTTATTGGTGTCTTTTGAAGAGCAAAAGGTTTTAATGGTAATGCATACCAAGTTATCAAAAAAATTTTATGAGTCATGTTTTTGATGTCATACCTAAGAAAACATTGCCTAACCAAAAACTCTGTTTCTTCCAGTTTTATAATTTTAGCTCTTAAATTTAGGTCTATATCCACTTTGACTTAATTTTTGTTTTTGGTGTGAGGTTAGGGTCTAAGTTCATTTTTTTTGCAGGTAGATATCTAATTGTCCCAGCACTATTTGCTATAAAGACCCTTCCCCCATAGAATTGCCTTGATTGTTTGTTGAAAACCAGTTGAGAAAGTCCATTCGCTTCATTTGATCTCTGTTTCTATCCTTACAGCCATGCGGTACTGTCTTGATTACTACTCCTTTATTTATAGTAAGTTTCAAAGTCAAGTAAGGTATGTCCTCCAGCTTGGTACTCCTTTCTCAGATTGTTTAGGTTATCCAAGGCCCTTTGCATTCCCATATAAATTAAGGATCACCTTGTCAGTTTCTGCAAAAAAGTCTGCTTTGATTTTCTTAGGAATTGTGGTGACTGAAATATTTTATGTAATTCGCCAGTGAAATTGTGTGAAGCTAGAGATCAATTCAGGAAAAATACAGTCTTAACAATATTAAATCTTCCAGTTTATAAACATGAGGTATCTTTCTAGTTGATTGCTGGTATTATGTAGATACACAGTTGTTTTTGTGTATGTTGTGCAACCTTGCTAAACTTCCTTAGTAATTCTAGTAGGTTTATTTCTTGCATTGCTCACTCTCTTTCTTTGGTTAGATCTATGGATTTTCTGCATACAAGATCATGTTGTCTGTGAATAAAGACAGTTTACATCTTCCTTTCCAGTCTGGATATCTTTAATTTCTTATTCTTGCCTTATTGAGTTGGCTAGAACCTCTAGCAAAATAATGAATAAAAGTGTTACAAGTGGACATGGTTGCCTTGATCCCAGTCTGAGCGGGGAAGCATTCAGTCTTTGACCACTAAGTGTGGTGCTAGCTGTACGTCTTTCATAGATGCCATTTATCAAGTTGAGGAAATTTTCTCCAGTTCCTAGTTTTTTGAGAGTTTTTTCTTTTAGCATTTTGAGCGTGTCATTCCACGGTCCTCTGGTCTCCATTGAGTTTGATGAGAAGTTAGCTGTTAATTGATGAGTCATTTTTCTGTTGCTTGTTTCAGGATCTTCTCTTTGTCTCGGTCTTTCAGCAGTCTCACCATGATGTGTCTAGGTGTGTATTTCTTTGTTTTTATCTGTCTTGGGGTCATTGAGCTTCTTGGTTCTGTAGGTTAATGTTTTTCATCAAATTTTGGGAGGTGAAATTTCCAGCCATTGTTTCTTCTTATACTTAATGTCTTTTCTCTCTACTTTCCTTCTGGGATTTCACTGCATATGTGTTGATACTCTTAATTCTCTCCCACAAGTCTCGGAGCCTCTGTTCACTTTTCTTTAATCTTTTCATTCTTCAGATTGCATCATTTGTATTCCTCTGTCTTCAAGTTCATAGTTTTTCTCTGCTATCTCGAGTCTGCTGTTGAGGCTCTCTAGCGAAATTTTCATTTTGGTTATTGTATTTTTCACCTAGTATTTATATCTAGTTCTTTTTATACTTTCTCTGTTGGTATTTCCTGTATGTTGGATCTTTGTCCTCATATTTTCCTTTAATTCTATGAACTTAAGTTTCTTTTAATTCTTTGACTGTATGTATAACGGCTGCTTTGAAATCTTTATGTGCTAAATCCAGTATTTGGGCTCACTCAGTCAGTTTCTACTGACTTTTTATTTTGTCTCTTTTTTAGTGTGTGGGTCATACTTTCCTATTTCTTTACATGTTTCTTACTTTTTTATGGTTGTTGAAAACGGAACATTTTAGATAATATAGCAAGCTTGCACTCTGATAGTCTCCTCTGAGGGTTGGTTGTTATTATTTTCCACAACTTAAATTGAAGAATCTGTATATCTCCCTTGTTATATGGCTGCTGAGGTCTCTGCTCAGGCTATTTTCTTCTTTTTGTTTTTAAGCTTTGCTTCCTAAAGGTCACCCCTGTGTATCCATAGCTTATTGGTCAGCCAGTGATTTGGGCAGAGGTTCACTCACACACCTTGAGCCTATGGGACCTCAGGTTTTGCTCATGCTTATACCCGTCGGTTGGGAAATGCACTGAATAGTCAGCCAGCTGTCAAGTCAGCCTAAGCACTAATTTTCCTCTGGGCTCTCGGGTTTTCCCTGCACGTGTGCTGTGATCTCCTAATCCATCAGTGATGTGTAGAGAGTTCTGTAGTTCTTCCATTGTGCTCTTGTTTCCAGGTCTTCCTGTTAGATTTCTCTCTGGCCTACCTCTCACCCCATCCAGGACCCAAGCCTCCAGCTAACACTTTTCCCGACAACATCACAGTAGGCTTTTGCTCTCTGCTAAAATCAAGCCCACCCTCTCTGTCAGCAGGCACCCTGCTCTGGTGAGGCTACTGTTTCTGCTGACTAAACTGGGAGGGGGTCCTGGGGAATGGGAACAGCTCCAGGCAGAAAGGCCAGACCCCTGTTGTTCTTCCTGAGGTTCAAGACTTTGGTTAATTTCCAGAGTCTCAAAATGGTTGTTTTGGGCAATTTTGTTAAGTTTTACATTTGTTTTGGGGGAAAGAACTCACTGGCCTCTTCACTCCACCACAGCTGGAAGTCCTACCTCTCTGGTTACATTTTGACAAATCTCTGTGTAACCATTGGTCAAATAATGTGATCCCAGTGGAGTATAACCATCTAATGGTTTTGTTTTTCTCGCTCACAGCTCTCTCCTTCATTCTGCTCTCTTTCTAGTTCTTTTCTCCTTGCTCAGATAGGCACAGGACACAGACTCATATGGCTGCTACTTCAGCAAATACCCAACAGGGGGCCGAGGTGCTCATCTAGTCCTTACAGGCTTCTTCAGTCCCAATCTCTTGGAGCCCCTCATTTTTCCTTTCAGGGAGGGACCTGATCTGTTCGGGGGATCAGGGCGAGCCCTGTTAACTTTGTGTTTGCTATCTTAACTGCTCTGCAGAAATGTGACCAGCTTTAATTTATGTCATTTTCAGCAAGCACCTATTACAGACCTAAGCAGGTACTATTTTTTGCTTTTCTTTCAGGCTGAACAAGCTCAGAACACTTGTGAATGTCATGTCTGTAAACAAGAAGCCTCTGGACTGACGGCGTCAGCAACGACAGCGGGCACTCTTCCTCCTGGCCACCAGTTCCTGAGCCCTGAGAAGCCCACACACCCTGCACTTCACCTCTACCCCCACATCCACGGACACGTACCTTTGCATACAATCCCACACCTGCCTCGCCCTCTTATCCACCCCACCTTGTATGCTGCACCCCCCTTCACGCACAGTAAGGTAAGTCAGGTCAGAGAAGGCCTAAACGTCACCCCTCACTTAGATCTTATAGGAGCTACATACTTGCAAAGACAACAGTCTATAAGTTGGCAGCTTGGATAGGACAGCATCTGCTTTTGATAGGAAGGTCTGCAAATGTTTTCTTGTACCATAATCTCTTAAGCTCTTGGAATTTGAACCTTTAGAGTTGTAAACCCAATTACTGAAAAAAAATAATGAAAGTCATGGCTTGTTTATTTGAATTAACTACAATGTAAAGAGTTTTTCAGGTGTTGCTGGTGGTAACAGGTTATACTCGGGGGTCCTTAATGGACGTGGCTTCTACCCACCTGGGCACCGTTCCCGTTCACTCGACCCCTGGTCCCAGGTGGCCTGGATCTTTTTCTTAATGAGATGGGTAAAATTATTTGAGTCCAGGATGAATCCTCTAACACTGACTGGGTTCTATAGTCTCTATAGAATGATTCTCCATTCTAAGCATGAAAGCTAAGGGCTTTTAGAAACACAAAGCTTAAAGGAGAAACAGTCCAAACCCCTCTTATATTTTGCTTCTGGAGTAAAGAGTCTGCTCATTTCTACTTAGTTTGAAAGACATTAGTAAATTTTGCATAACAGAACCTTTGTCCTGACCCCGTGTGGGCCATTGGAAGAGGTGTAATGCCATGCAGCTTACTGAGAGGTGGCTGGAGGGCTGGCATCAGGGAGCCTGCCAGAAGCCACTAGTGCTAAAACCTTCGCAGGAAGTAGAGTGAGGATCTCGAAAACCATGTTTGATTTCTGTGCACTCTTCTCAGAGGACTCCATGCGTGTGTCTGTTCTCTCTAGCTTTACAGGGAGGTTGGCGTCATTTTTGTACCTTAGATGGCTTTGCCTCTCTAGCTGTTTTAAACTGACGTTTGTTGACTCTCATCATGAATTGTGATTGTTTTTATTTTTCTTTCTATCATTGATTTCAGTTCAAGGTTAGCAGTAATTAATCAAAATAGAGTTTCCCCCAAACTCTGCTAGTTTATTTTTAACGGTGATTCTCAACTGGGCAAGAAAAGGAGAACATAGCACGGAACAGGCTTTTTGAAGCTACATGCTTGTCTTCCTCCCCTGGGGAGCGTCGCTGGGAATGAGCTCACATTACCAGTGGGAGACTGTGTAGCCCATACCTGGGGTTTGTTGTTTGTGTGGGAGGGACCCAGGTGGGAGATTAATAACCACTGGTTTAGAATAGAATATAATCAGTTACATTCCTTTATAAAGAGTAGTCAGCAGTATCCTGATTTATACTTAAATTTTATCAGATTGAATGTTGCTCACTCAGAACATTTTTATGATATCTATTAATAGAACATTTTTAAATAGCAGTTTTCAGGTACGTATTTAAAACCAGACTGTTTTCATGGTCTGCCTAACCTATACGCTGTTTTCCTTTGGTTGTATGTTAAGAGTAGGACGCTGTACACACCTTATATTTACCTGAATAGAGCTCTATTTTCTAGTCCAAAGGAACTGCCTCGGGTGAAGATTATAGAATGTTCTGTTATATATTTTTCCTGGTGTAAACTATGCGAGAATTTGTTTCCTAAAAATCTTTCAGTGAACTAGTGAAGTTGAGTATTCCTAAAGGCTATTGGGACACTAGTTTACTTAAAAATCAGTTCTTTCATCTGATTTTTGGCTTTTTCTCAGGAAGTTATGGTAGCCTACATAAGGGTAGAAAGAGAGGGAAAACTTTTTTGTTTGTTTTTTTTTTTAATTGTACTTCAGGTGAAGGCTTACAGAACAGATAGTTTCTGATGAAACAGTAGTACACATATTGTTTTATGATATTGGTTAACAACCCCACAACATGTCAGCCCTCTAACTTCTCAACTTTTTATTTGGTGAAAATACACATAGCCAAAGATGTACCATTTCAAAAAGTTCTACATGCACAGTTCAGTGACATTGACTACGCTCTTCCAATTGTGCTGCTATTCTCACTTTAGATGAAGGCTTACAGAACAAAATAGTTTCTCAT